AAAAAAAAAAAAAAAAAAAAAAAAAAAAAAAAAAAATCTCCAGCGGGTATTTCAAGTGCCTGCTGAAATAGGCAGAAGAAGTAAAATCAGCAGATTTAGTATGCTCCGGGCAGAGCAGTGATCTTTTCAGTGCAAAAGCAAGTGGTGCTTTCTGAGCATGCTGGTGCCTGCACAGAGGCTCAGAAACATCTAATGAGGCACAAGAGCCACTCTCGGGGGTTTCTGGACTCTGCGCAGATAAACCGAAACCTCTGCTCCATTATACTGCAAGGTGCTCCAGCTCTGTTGGAAGTCAAGGGACTGAAACTGTGCTCTTTGCTTTTCCTGTTGTGGGAGTTGACTCATTGCTTTTCTCTCTCTCTCTTTTTTTTGATTTAGGTTAGATCACAGTTTAGATCTGAGAGCTCATTTGGCCACCAGAGATCCTAAGGAGGCAAAGGATGGACTAATGCTTTCAGATGCACAGCAGCAGCATTTTAGCCACTTGATTAGAAGAGTTTAATCTGTTGGGAGACAGCCAAGAAAGCTAGCCACTGCCTTCCTGATCTATAGACCACCTAGGTTTGATTCTGTCCCCAGCAGGAACCGACTGTCTCCTTCATGGAGGATGACAGTGAACATGTGCAGAGCTGCTGGGCGTATCTCCCTGATGTCTGCCTCAGCCATGTGTTCTGGTGGTTAGACGACAGGGACAGATCCCAGGCTGCCTTAGTCTGTAAGAGATGGAGTCAGGCCATGTACTCGGGGTCTCTCTGGAGAACCAGAACCATCACCTTCCGTGGGATGCCTTCTAGGTTGCACACAGCAGAGCTTGAATCTTCTCTGTGGTACGTCAAGAAATTTGGCAAGTACTTGGAACACCTCGAGATCAGGTTCCTGAATCCTTACAATGCTATCTTGACGCGAAAATTTCAAGTGACAATGAAAGGGCTTCTCTCGCGCTTGGGCAAATGTAACAGCCGACTGGTGTCCTTGAGTATGCAGCACCTGGAGTTGGACCGATTGGTCTGGAAAATCATAACCAGGAATCAGTTTATCAAGAACCTAATACTTTTCCTGAAAAGAGTAGGCTCCCATCTGGATCATCTCAGCTTGAAAGGAGCCAGGGTGACGTTGGAAGAAGGCTGTGAGCTTTTGAGCTCTTTGAGCTACTTGAAAAATAAAAGCCTTGCCTCTGAAGTCAACATAGAAAATTTCTTCGAGCGTCACCTCGCTGTCTACAGAAGCCCCCTGTTTTATGAAACCATGTCCAAGTTCCGCAATCTGGCCATCCTGACCCTCAATTACAACTGCATTTCCGATGAACTGCTGGACACGCTGTGTGAACATAATGCCCATTCTCTCTGGACCCTAAATATAAAATGCCATATCCATGACCCTCATAGGCAAATAATTTGGGGGGCATCCTGGGCAAACCTAGGCAAGAGAGCCCCAAAACTCAGAGTGAACTTCTTCTTTGAAAGAGTCATGAAGCATGACAAGTTAGCCAGGATCCTGTTAGCAGAGATCCCTGTCAGGAGCATCAATCTACGCAGCTGTTATTTCAGGGACCCGGACTGGACAATGAGACCCACCCTAACCAATCTCTTGCCATCTTACAAGCACATCCTACAGGTACGGTGGGGACAGAGACACTCTGCTCCCCTGTTACAGATTTGAACAGGAGGCCATGCCCATGTTAGCCTTATACTCAATGGCCGGTGTGAAAGTGAAGCCCTTCCAAGCCCACAAGCCCCTTTTACCCACCTTAAATTGATGTGCCCCTTTAAACAGTTGTCCCAATGGGACACTGTTTTACTGGAGGGGGAAACATGGTGGATTCCTTTCAGACCATATTGATTTCCCAGGTCCTAGTGCTTTGACGTGTTCCTAGGGACTTGAAGCTTTGTGTTAGTGCAGGTTATTCCTTTATAGTGTCAGATGTAACTTATTCTGTTTAACATGTAGATCAAGCTAAACTTAACTTTAAATTGTAGTCAATTTAAATACGAAGGAAAAGGTATATATGTGGAATCACCATTACATTCTTTGGTAGCTGTAGGTGGAAAGAGATTTAATCTGGGAGCAGAGACGACTGTTAATTTTCTCTGATGTATGTTGCAACATTTCCTTTAATCTATAGGAAATCCTTTGAATTGGAGTGATCCCACCCCCACTAATGGTTTGGGGGAATAAAACAGACTCTTTAAATTCCCTCTCTGTAACTACCTGAAAGAACCTCATATAAATGAAACATTGCAGGGACTCGCATCATTATTCAATGCATCTTCTGTCATAATGGCAAGGTTTTGGAGGTGTGGGTCTATGTTTATATGATGACTAGTATAAAGGGGTTGAATTCTGAAAGGAACTTCTGGTTACTTAGTAAAGCTGATTGCATAAGTTTGATGATACTAAAGAGAACTTCCTGGAAATCAGACCTCCTAATGATACAATGAGAAACCTGCTCATTATATCTCATGTACATTTACAAGAGCAGAGTGGCTTGGCCCTCAGGATAGGCATATATTCTTTGTCTTTTCTAGAAATTAACCCTTGAATTCAACAACAGCCATGAATTCCTGGATGAGGAACTCCTGCAGCTCGTGTTGTCATGCAGGAAGCTGTTCTTTCTGAAAATCTGGGCCTTCCTCGATATCACGTTTGTAGAGAGGCTGCTGCAAAATCAGGTGGAAGGCAAATGCACCTTGCGTACGCTGAAGGTACAAAATTAAGGTTCAAAAAGTAGCATCCCTTGCATAAAAACAGGTTGAAGAAGAATTGAGACATGCCAAGGCAGTTTCCTCCACTGACTATTGCATTATAGTTACTGTTAACATGCAGGCAGGAAGGTTTTTCAAGTAATGTAAGAATGGTATGTGAAAGTCCAAGATCCACTTGAAGTAGAAAGGACTGCCCTGGCACAGGTATCCCCTGATCAGCCCAGCCACACAGTGTTAAATCCAGTGAATTATTTCAAGGTGCAGTTAGGTTCAACTGCAAAGGGGTTTGAATAAGGACACAGCTACTCAGTGCAGTAGTGCTGCGGGGCACAAACCGTGATGTGATGCTACTGCGCAGTAGTAATGAGCAATTGCGCAGTAAGCATCACCAGGCAACCATGCAGGGACTCTACTGCAAAGTACTACTAGTTACCACACAGTCATTTAGTACTTGGTTATGCAAGTACTACATGACTGTGCGGTAACAACTGCACAATCAGTGTTTTGTGTAGATGCAGGCAGTGGGTATAAACTTAATGTAGCCTTTATTCATAGCCAGGTGGTCAGATTGACTGACAGCAGGGATGGTGCAGGGCTAAACACGATTTTAAAGTGTATTCTATCCTTCTTTTATCCATTGCAAGTGCTTATACATTACAAAGTACTCCCAGTCACACATTTATATAACTTGTCCTATTACTGAT